AGCACTGTCCTATGTCCTTGTCCTGTAGGGAACAATCCTGCCTTGGCAGGGAGTGGAAGAGATGAACTAACATCTTTTCCATCTTATTTGATAGAAACTAAAATCATGTCTGAAGTACAGAACTGCACTTCATGCAAGATTTTACTCCCTTCCTCTAATGCACCTGAATGTTAAGAGTTAGGCTGGAGTAACCCCGTAGTGTAGGAAGCGGAGGCACCGTAACCGCGTAACTCAAGTCTGCTCAAACCTAAACCCTGGCTGGAAGTTACTGACCCAGCACTTCTGTCATTAAATGTTTGACTGAAACCTGTGTTTGTGCTCCACCAGGCCCCGGTCCAGCAGGGCGGTGGCTCCTGGGCACTATTTAATATGAAGCTCCACTGATGGTCCCAGGTCAGGTCCCAGCTCGGCCTCCGGCTCTGGCTCAGGGCCTGGGGAGCTGCAGAGTGACATTAACCCACACTAACACTGTAAATACTGACCGTGTTTGAGGCGTGGGCTGGGCTGGGGCTGTCACTGGGCACAGCTCGCCCGAGCCCAGTGGTGCCGGGGTGAGGAGTGTTTCTCCTCCAAATGTCGAGGCCAAAAGCAGGGAGAGCTCTGGGGCTTGTCTGGAACCAAACACTCTGCTAGGAAAGCGAAATAGTTCCTGCTGTTCCAAAATGGAGAATGATAATAAGTTCTCATTGTAACATAAAAAAAGTGAGCTATAAATCTACCCAGATCACCTGTGACCCTCCCTGCCCTCCCTGGAGAAATCCTTCCAGCTCCCACACCAGCGGCAGCCAAGTGCCCAATGCTCAGCCAGGGCCTCTCCTGACAGAACCTCAAGGGTTTGCTCCAACAAAGCTCAAAAAGGCCTTTGGCAGCACCTGCCCAGGGGCCAACTGAGCCCACACCCCCAGCATCCAGATCACTCCAGCACTGGAATGCACGGCTGGAACATCTCCTTCATCTGCCTGTTCAAGAACAACAGTGACACTGTCGTCGTTTGAGTTTTTATTAGTTTGTACATCATATACAGTTTATAATAAAGTAAAACCGATTGCATATGGGTCTGCTCAGGCTGATTCCCCATACAAACACAGCATCAGGAGTTCTGCTAAGGAAGTAAACAACAAATATTCACATTTTTACCATTCACATCCTAGAAAGGTCCAAGAGGGACAGGACAGTCAGTACCGACACGGAGCCTGGCTGGGAGAGGATGAGGAGTTTAACAAAGCGATGGGACAGCGATTGCTCCATGCAATTCCCCTTTCCTCCCAGGGAAAGGTTGAGCTATGTACACTGAGGTAAACATTCCGAATTCCAATTCAGATAAATACGGCAGCGCAGGGACAAGCTCCTCTCCAAGTGGCTTCGCATCGGCGCCTGGATTTGTCCTGACTATTCTGTAGTGTCGTGACCACCACGACTCACGTGCACTGAGGGGCTCGGGGTGCTCCGCACACAGCCCCTCTGACTCTACCTCACACCACACTCTGTCCACACGAGCCATTAAGGACAGCAGGGATGGGGATGGGGCAGTGGGACAGGCTGGGATGGCAGCCAGGCTCTCCACGGATCCTGCCCTCCCAGGCCATCCTCCATGCTCCAGCTCAGGCGCAGTGTCCCAGCTCCCCACTCCCAGCAACAGACCAGAGCTGTCCCCCCGAGCTCAGGTCTGGGCAAGGGAAAATGCCCAACGCTGCTCTGAGAAGGGATAACAAACCCCATCCCTGACAGCAGCAGCGGGAGAGCCGGGCCTGGCAGGAAGGCCAAAGAGTTACATGTCAGCTCCTACAGTCACACAGGGCCTGGGGCACAGGGACACCCAGGAATGGCCCCTCCAGCTGCTGCCACCTGTCCCTGTCACAGCCCTGCCACAGCCACCTGGGGACCGGCACCGCTCCAGGGATGAGGTGGGTGCAGCACAGGGGCATCCTGTTCCCTAGGGACAAGGCACGAATTTAAACAGGATGAAAACCATCCACTGGAGATAAGGGAAGATGTAGAGTTACTACTGAAACTGAGGAAGTCATTTGCAAGTGGCAAAGCAGCACGTGGCCCGACCCTGTTTGGTGGCTGCGGAACCGGGACCGGCACAGCTGGACAGGGACTGGCACCGGAGCTGGACCAGCCTCTGTGCCAGAAACACCATGACAGCACAGCAGCTTCCACTTTGTATCCTGGAAGATACAGAGTGGAGGGACCCACTATTCCATGGATAATGGATAATACTGTTGTCCCAGAACATTTTTTTTTCTTTCTCCTGTTTTCCAACTTGCATTCCTGTATTTACAACAGCTGTCAGCAGTGGGGATCCTGCTCACTGAACACTCCCAGGAGTGTTCAAACAACAAATATGGCACCTTCTGTGCAGCCAAAGCAACAAGGAGCCAGTCAAAGAGGGTGACCAGAACCCCCTGAATGGTCTTCACAGCTTTCCAACCCAAACTACTCCATGATTCCATGAGCATGATCAGGCAAAACCACATCCAAGGGAAAGTCTAACAGCCAAACAATTCCTATCTCCCTGCAAACACTGCAGTCCTACAGCAGAGCCCACACAGGCCAGCTCTGCCCACAGCCACACTCCCCACACACTCTTCCTGTAGTTGACAACTTCCCTGGAGAAGCTGACAGCTCCTTCTCGAGCTGCTCAGAACAACTCCCAGCACAACTGGTGGAAGATCCCCCGACACACCAGCCTGGTCTGCCCTCAGCCATGGCAGCTCTGCTCTCTCCAGGTCTTTCCCATTTGGCAGGAGCTCTCACTGCACCAGCCATTCCCCCTGGGAGACCCTGGGCAGGAGCTGCCAGGCCAGAGCTGGCCAGGAGTGACACCAAAGAGCAGGAAGTGTCTGACCACACCTGATCATGTCCATCCCACCACGCCTGTGCTTCAGGGGCAGCACCTGAAGCACCTGCCTCCTGCACCTCCATCAGCTCCTTGTCCTTCTAGAAACAGCTCAGGGACAACATCCCTTGAAGACAACAATCACAGTGTCTGTGACAAATCCCTACATCCAGTGGCTCCTGTGGAGCCAGAGGACATGCAGGGGGGCTGCGAGTGGCTGTAGCAGTGGCACTCCTGTTTCCTAGGGCTACACACAACCACAACCCACCGTAATAACCTCCGTGTGTGGAGGCAACGCTCCAAGCAACACTCATCTGAGCACATTTTCTGGAAAGAAGCAGTCCCATGTCCCCAGGCCGTGCTGGGACACGGTGGAGGTCACAGTGCCACCTGTGCTGCTGCTGCCCTGAGGTGCCGGGTGCCACCAAACCCTGCTCAGCCCCGCTCTGTGCAGAGGGGAACAGGGACAGAGCTCAGGGCATCCTAGTGGAGGGTGCCCCTGCCTATGGCAGGGGGTTGGACTCGATGGCCTTTAAAGGTCCCTTCCAGCCCAAACCATTCCGTGGTTCTGTGCCTTTGCTTTACTCATAATAACGCTCCCTAAAAAGTCTTGGCACTCACCATATGAATATTTAACTACATTAAATCATGCATTCATGTACAGGTTATAAATAGCTGCTGTATACGTTTTCTCTCCCAGAAGCAGAGCCATCCCACTCCTGTGCTCAAAGGAATGGGCTCACTCACAGCTTGGAGAGAAGGAAGGGAGGAAGGAAGCAGATTGCACTTCCCTGGGGCAGGGGGAAATGAGAACAAACCCACTGACAGACACAGGACACGGCTGCACTCAGCAATGGGAGACTGAGAACAGCCCAGACTGTACAGTGACGACAACACACAGAGAATGAGACATCATGGATCTGGAACACCACTAAACGAGCCCTGTAAACTGATTTACAGTGCCAGGAGAGCTGGGGGAGGATCGATGTGCATAGACCAGGGTTTCGGTTCCCCAGGGATTCACCGTTTTGGAGCCTGAAAGGTGCCAGGACCCAACTGCTCTTGGTGCACCTGGGTGGGTTCAATCCCTCACACTGGTGTGAAGGACCTTGGAATAAACATGGTAAAGTCGGGTTTTGAAAGTATTACTCAGCACTGGCTCACTTGGAAAGCTGAGTTTCAAGTGAGTTGTAAAACACTCTATTCTGCAGTGCTAAAATTTAAGCCCTTAAATTTTCCCTCTACGAAAGCAGATTGTCAAGAATCCTGACCAAAGACCACAGCAGGACCACGACAGCACTGTCTCTGCTGGAACCGCCGGGACCTCGCGGCCCCGCGCCGGTCCCTGTCCCGCTGGAAGGACATGCACAGCCCTCGGGAGGGAGGAAGACAAAGACATGGCATTCAGAGCCATCACCTCGTGCAATAACTCACTGCAGTGTTTGTTCCTGCAGAAGGAAGGTAAAATCAGGTGTTACACAGAGTCAGTGTCAGGTTCTCTCTCCGCACAGCCCGGCCTGTGAGCACCAACACCCCTTCTCTGAGCAAACTCCGGCCTCCAACGGCCCTGCACTGCCAGGTCAGCCCAGGACCCAGCCACGGCCCCACTGCCCCTCACTGAGCACCAGCCCAGGATCCCCAGCCATGGCCCTGCTGCCTCTTGCTCCCCTCACATCCCATGCTGAGCATGGACCCTCCATAGACAGGACTGAACTCACAGAGCACCTGGGCAAAAAGGTTCTCCACTCTCTAGAGAACAGGGGAGAATTCCAGGAGCAGAGCCCTCTCCCAGGTAAGATCCTGCTGCAACACCACCTTTTAGGTGAAAACCAAACCCATCTGGACATGGCTCCGGGCCAGAAGCTCATCTATCCCTCCAGTTCCCATCCTGACACTGCACGAGAGAAGCGAGTACAGACTGTCAGTTCAGAGCTGGGCTTTGCATTTCCTTGCTGCTTTGGATGAGTAAATCACTGCCAGGAGAAAACCACTCGGCCAGGTTAACCAACCAGCCCAGCTGCTGCACACCAGGAGCTCGGCACTGCACATCTCAAACCACCCACAATCCCTGCCTGGACTTCACTTGGCAATGAAAGACTCACCCACATCATGGATCAGTAACAGGAAATCACACATCAAGCTCAACAAAATCAAGTTTAGCACAAATATGAAATATTCAAGTGGATTAATTAAAAAAAGTACAGTGAAGGAATTCAGCCCAGAGCAAATTCAATATTCCCTTAAACAGGACAATCCTGGGAACACAAAGCCCTTAATTCCAGCTGCATCACAGGGAATTCTCACATAAGCTGCTCTTTAAACTCAAAGCAGCATTTCTCTGATACAGAATTGTAAGCTCACACATTATCACTGAAGTTAATGCCCGAGTGGACCTTGGGAGAACCATGGGAAAAAAAAAGAAACAAAAAGAGCCAAAAATCCAGCTGGCAGGTGAAACGGGATTGTATAAAACTGGATTGAGTGTTGGCAATATTTCCAAAAAATTAAGATAACTTACAAGTTACTCAAAACCCTGGACATGCTGCTTCAGAGCCAACCAAAATAAACCAGGAGATTCCTTCACCCTCTCACACATGGAAATTCCAGGAAAATTCCAGGAAATCCTCAGTGCTGAGGGGCAGGAGCAGCTGAAAGCATGGGCCAGCATGGAGGGACCAAAAGATTCAAAGCTTTATTTTTTTTTTTTTTTTAATAAAGTTAACAGTAAAACAAAATTCACAAGCCTTCCCCTCCCGAGCTGGTTTCCTCTTCACGCACACAACACACAAACAGAGGCTCCAACCCAGAAATGAAACTGCTCTAAGGACAACGAGACGTGATGGAGGAGGAGTCTGGGGCTGTCCGTATTCGAGGTTAAAAGAAGCAGATCAGGTATGTGTGGTTTTATTTGTGTTTTGTTTGCTTCTTAGCCAAACTGGAAAAAGAAATTTCCAGGACCAGAAGCTGAAAAAGAAAATGGGAGATATCAGGACTTTCCAAACTCAAAGACAAAACAGTTCAGTGCAATCCAAAGCAGCACATGGATGGCCAGGCCCACACACACCTCCAGAACAGGGAATGCCTGTCACTCGTGGCTTTTGAACCCAAAACAACCAGAACCAGCCACCAGCTGAGGCTGTACAGGCAGAACTTTCCATGCTCTCCTCAAGCAGCACATCCACTGGGAGCCCCAGCTGCCCTGTCAGGGATTCCATGTACTTACGACTCCAAGGCTGGCAGAAGCCACCTCACCTACCTTCGAAGCTGAAGCCTCCCGGCCCGCCGAAGAAGGCCTTGAAGATGTTATTTGCATCAAAGTCTACAGGGGAGAGAAAGAATTCATGAGCTGCAGGGAAGCAGCCAGTTACACTCCCACAGTTCAGGAACTGTCAGTTCACTGAGGGGGTGAGAAGGGACGCAGGGCTGGCTCCAAGCCCTGGCACAGCAGCAGCAAACAGGTAAAAGCAGCTGTCACAGGGAGAACCTGTCAGGAGGCAGCCTAAGGGTTTGGATACTCATTTAGGGATCCACAGTTACACTACTTTACATGTCCTGTGATAGATATCTGCCTAATGGCAGCTATTGCCCACCAACTCAGCCAAAGACAACACCCACCAGTGTCCCAGCCATTTCCCAACTGGAAACATTCAGTGCAGCTCTGCCATCCCAATGCTTTCAGCAACCAAACTGAATCAATTCATGGAATTATTCCCAATGGGAGGCTTGCTTTAGGGCCTAAAGCAGACTCTTAAGGGTCTGATCTTGTTAAAGGCTGCCATGCCAGAGTATCATAAGGAACACTGACCTCCCATGTTCAATCCATCCTCTTCCAGATCTTGCCCGCTGTCGTAGCGAGCCTTCTTCTTGGGATCTGACAGGATTGTAAAGGCTTCACCAACCTCCTTAAATTTCTTCTCCTCTTCTTTCTGTACTTCTGCACTTGCCCCACTGTGTCGATCTGTGGATACACAAACAAGCATGAAGAAGCTATTAATTTCTAGTGCAAATGGAAAACATTAAACATTCCCAAGCTCCTGTCCCAGCACATGCTCTAGACCCGTGGGGTCAGAGCTGCTATTTGTCCCACTCCTACATGCATTGCTGCCTCAGTGATGGCTGTGCAGGGCACACAGGGACTGCTGTGGGTACCTGGATGGTGCATTAGTGCTCGTTTCCTGTAAGCCTTCTTGATCTCATCTTCAGAGGCATTTTTGTCCACCCCCAGGATTTTGTAGTAGTCTTTCCGTTTGCTCTTTTTCAGTTCCACCTGTGCGTTCTTTAGGAGCTGTTTGTGTTCTGGAAAGAAGCACAAGGCCAGAGAAGAGGGGTTACTTTGTCCTTCCCACTTCAGGCCACTGAAAAAGCAAGAGGACAGTTAAAATGAGAACCAAAACCAGATATTCTGAACTCAGTGCACTGTCTCAGCCACAAGCTCAATTATCATCTCAGCATTCAATGCTGGGAGAGAAACCAGACCTGAGACAGGCATTTCCAATGCTTCCAAGGGCTTCTCCATATTGTCCTGCTGGGGTAAAAGGCTGCAAATCAGAGCATATTGTGGGGAAAAAAGCAACAACAAAAAAATTCGCAGGTAAGGGAAAAGTGTGAACACACACAGAGTGCCCATGTGCTCACCTTTTGTTTTCTCTGTCTGATAAACCTTCTCATAGTCTCTTACAGCATCTTCATATTGTTCTGTGTCCATGTAGCTGTGGAAAGAAACACTGGTGGTCAAGGTGTCCTTCACAGGAACATCAAAAGGGGTTTAGTACAGCTGTCTGGGTGGATGTTGATTAAGGAAGAGAAGTGCTCTGGACTGCAGCAGAGAGTCATCAGAGGGGCCCACACAGGGCCACTGCCAGGGAGCCCAGACACCTGCTACTTGTGGGAGCTTCCCTCATCTCCTCAGCAGCGTAAGGAAGAGGAATAAACTGAGGACCCCTCAATGCAGAACCATTCAGTTAAACTCCAGATTTGTGACCCCGTCCCTCAGAGCTGCCAGGAGGGCGCTCCTGCCCACACACCTGCCCAGGTGCCCGTGCCAAGGTGCACTCACCACTGTGCCCTCCTCAGGTAGGCCTTGATGTACGTGTCGTCCAGCTTCACCGCGTTCGTGCAGTCGTCGATTGCTTCTTCAAGTTTCCTAAGCTACAAGGGCAGACACGAGTGAGCAAATCCCAGGCACAGAACAAATTCTGCATCACGCTTTTAGGCAAAGGAAAGGTGTGAAGAATCTGGGAAAATCTCACTGGTTTCTATGTCTAGGAATTTTTTTTTTAATTCCCCCAAAACACTGAGCTTTTGTTCCCTTGGAAAAAATGAGGAGCTTGGCCAGTGACATGGCAGAGCTACGTGGTGCTTCAGCACTCAAAAACAAGGGTCTTCCTGAAAACAATCCCAATTCTGTATCCAAGCTAATGCCCAGACAGCAAGATAAACTTAAAAATATTTAAAAGAAATCATTTTTAGAAAAAAAATTTTTTGTTTTCAGACACAAACAGGCATGTAAAACATCTATTATGTTGTCTCCAGCTCATCCCACTTCCCAGGTTTCGGAAACAGCCTGTGTTCTCTTGACTGAGTGCTGATGTCTGGAGAGCAGCATCAACAGAGGGACAGCTGAGGAGGAAACATGCCCAGAAGACATGTTTCTGGGTGGGAACTGGGAGCACTGACACATGACTGACTGCTCCTCTGGATAGTGCAGGACTAAAATTCAACAGCAAAGCTGGAAAAAGTGTCCAGGGGCTTTAAAGTAAGTCTTTTTTTAAGATCAAAAACCAAACCAAGACATGACTTACAAGAAGAATTAAGAAAATAAAGCTGCTCATTCCCAGGAAGGAAAAACAGGGACAGGGATGCCTTTTGCTGACTAAGATAAAGCTACAGCACGTCCCTCCTCTCCCTCCCACTCTGTGCAGCCCAAGTATTTGAGTTTTGTTTCTGCAGGAGTCAACTGCTGGCTGATGGGAACTGACCCAAGTGTTGTGCAAGCACAAATCCCTGACACACTGCCCATGGCCCCAGAGAGATGCAGCTGCCCAGCAGCCAGAGGAGCCTGTGCTTCCCAGAACAACTGATTTGTGGTTTATCACTGACATGGTGAGGGATATGACAACAGACACCTGCCAGGTGACAATCCCTTACCTTTGAATTAACTGTCCCCCTGTTACAGTAGAGTTTGGCATTTGTTTTGATATTATTTGGGTCTATTCCTAGTGCTTCTGTGTACAGTTCATATGCTAGTTTGTAGTTGCCTTTCTTGAATGCTTTATTCCCGTCTTCCTTCTTCGCTTTAAGTGCTTTGGCATTCTGAAAGGAAACACACCTGGGTCAGGACACAAGGTCAGGGTTCAAGGGGACCAAGCACCTTGTTCTGCTGCACAAGGGTCCCCAAACATAACAGTTCTAATTTGGTTTCAGACACTGCTGCAAGTCACAGCCTTGCTCCAGCAGCTGAAACAGCTGGAAGCACTTTGCGCCTTTCCCCCAAGAGAAGCACTAAGGAACAGCCAGCACCAGTTCCAGGCATTCTCCACAACAAAAAGGTTGCCTAATTTTTAAGATGAGAACATGACATTGCAGTAAATTTATGGATTAAAATAAAAAGACTGAGAGCTCACTTTTTGAGGGCTTATATATGTGACCACATTAAAAAAGTCAGTTGGAGAACTACACCAGGAAAGGAGCAACATGAAGGAACAGTGCTAAATGCAAGTCAGGCTGTGGGCGGATATTGGATATGAAAGTCAGGAGTTCCTTTAGAAATGATGTATCTGGGAGCAAAGAAGAGTGAAGGGGAAGCAGCTTCAAAGTATCACAGTTTGCTGAGAAACAGCTTCTGGCAACTTGGGTTTATGGGGTTGTCTTTGGGAAGGGCTGGATATACCGCCTGCTCCTGGAGGTCTGGGAATGGTAATGCTTAGAGAGGGAGAAGGGATCGATCCAGTAGAATCAAGTCGGGTGTTCGCTTTAAAAAAAACCCAAATCCTGGTAATTTTGCAGTCCCTTCTCCACCACTTACCCGGCAGGCAAGACAGGCCTTCTCGTGGTCCGGGGCCATCCTGAGGGCCTGCACGAAGAACTGCACGGCCTTCTCGATGCAGTCCTCGTAGTACAGGCACAGCCCACGCACGTACAGCGCGTCGGCGTTCGTCGAGTCCATCCGCAGGATATCACTGCAGCAACAGCAAGGAAGGAAATGTTCCCCGTTCCCGCCTCCTTCTGACCTCCACAAGCACCTTCCTCTGCTCAGCTATCCAGTTATTTTATCAAGTCCATGGTACAGATGAGCCAAAGGGACGTGAACCTGCTCAAGCAGGATAGCTGGTTGGGAACAGGGTCTGGATGCAGCTTCCCGGGAAGATTAACAGGGATAAACTCACACACTCCTTCTCCTCACAGTGTGCATTAAGGACTATTTCTTTTTTATATTCCCTCATTTACTCCAGGTGTGGAGCACAGGCAGCAGCCAGGACAGCCCCTAGCCCTCGGACACTCACCTGGCCACGGACTGAGCCTCGGGGTACCGGCCCAGCAGCGCCAAACACTCGGCCTTGAGGATTTTGAACCGGTGACACGCGGGAGCAAACTCCAGAGCACGATCCATGCAAAACACAACCTGGGGTGGGAAAAGCCACAGGCATGAGCACAGCAAAGACCAACGGCCTAGTCTGAACAGCTGCACCACGTCTGGGATTTGTGTTTGACAAAAAAGGTGAGTGCGGCTGCTGGAGACACATTCATTGGAAAATTTTCCTCATGTGCAGGTTTTTTGTCTTTTAAAGGGCTTTGTGTGCCAAGATCTGAGGCACCTGCTGTGTTACTGTGACAGAGCACTACACAAGGCTCAAGGGACACCTGTAGGAGGTCCACCCTTTTAACTCTTCTAAACTGTAAGCCCTAAAGAAAAAGCCAAAGAGGACAATCCTGCCCCTGTTTCCTGCAATATAAAGACACTTGGAAGAGACAGCAATTCAATAGATTGAGACAGTTTGGACTGGAGAAAACACAGAAAAGTACAGTATAGGGGTTGATCTTCCACTGGCCTGCCAGCCATGGGCAGGGTGAGCTAATGGGTCTTTTCCATCCCTGCTCTCGGCGGGGACATCTGCACGAGAACGGGGCATTGTTCCCCAAGGTTCATCTGCTCCCCAGCCCGTGACATCACGGGGCCCTGCTGTGGGAAGCACTGTGCTCCAGAGCCAAGGGCTCCTGGGAGAGGCAGGAGCAGGAGCAGCTCTCCAGAAACAAAGATCACGTTTCATGTGAGCCTCCCCAGTGGAGTGGGACCAGGGAAGTGAGGGACAGACACAGGACGTCCAGTACAGGCGTGGCAATTCCTACACATGAAATTCAGATTGACCACACATCTCATTTGCTCCTCAGAAACAAGGGGGTACAATGATGGGATCCACCCTTCCAAAATCTTGAGCTTAGCCTAAGAGTCAGTGACCTGAACAGCAAGCTCAGTGTGCCAGACAATCTCCTTTCTGGGCCAAATCTGAGCCTTACATGCATCCACTGCACAGAAACAGTTGCATGAGAAGTGTTTGGTGCCTTTCAGATTTCACGCTGTCGTTTCTTGTTCTATCAGGTTAGTACCAGCTGCATCCTCTTACAGCCCTTGGGAAGAAAGATTTGGAAGCAGTAAGGAGAGTGCCCCATGCAGATCTGCATTCCTCCTTGTGTGACCCTCACTGGCACATGGCCTGCCTCCTTTTTTTTTTATAATTTTTAAAGAGCTGAGAAAGAAGAATCCTGGACATGCATTTTAGGAGCAAAGTGTGATTAAATGCTGCTGCTGACAAAATCTGTCTCAAACAGCTCATTCATGGCTCCACTCATCTTATAAAGCAAATGGTGACAGAGGACACTCAGCCTGAGCCAGTCACCTCCTCACTTGTCATTCAGTCGGTGCTCAGGGAGCACAAGCTCTGCCCCTTTCACAGCTGACACAGTTCACCAGCCAGCCCTGCTTCAACAGATGTGGCACAGCACCTCCCAGACACCCAGCAGGGAAATCAGCCACACACCTGGCTGCACAGGCCAGGTCAGTTCTTATATAAGACCACAGCAAACAAGTTCATCTCACCTTCCTGAAATCCCGTTTCTCAAAATCCACTTCGGCTATTTTTTCATACTCAAGCACGGTCGTGGCGTTCTTCAGCTGAAAGACAGAACACACAAGTGCTGCAGGACAGTCTCTGCTCTGAAATCCCACCAAGCCAATCCCTGAAGTGTCAGAGCCAAACCTACTGCAGACCATGGACTGATAATGCAGATGACATGAATACTTTTGCCTGCATTAAAATCAGTTTGAAATCAATTGACCAAACTGGTAGCCCAGGAAAATGTACCCCATGAAAGGGACACAACAGTGGCAGCTGCCTTACACCACTCTCCATTTCTCCTCTGGAGAGCTGGAGGAAAGACCAGCTCAGCCTCCTCAGCATCTGCTGGGGCCAGTTAAATCTGAAGACCCTCTTACCTCCTGCTGTGCCTGGGTATTCTTATGATCCAGTTCTAAAACTCGTTGAAAGCAGCGACTGGCAGCCATGGCATTCCCTAGGGAAAGGTGGCACTTCCCTTCCCGCAGATGGCCCTGGGAACACAGATAAAAGGGAGCTGCAAGAGCTGCAACAGGTGCAGACAAGGTATTGAACGAAGAGCCCGAAGTTCTCCACGTACCCGCACAAAGCTGTCGTCCAACCTGACCGACTGCTGAGCATCCTCCAGTGCTTCTCGGAACCTCCCCAGCATCATGAGCGTGGCAGCTCTGTTCCCATAATAACTGGCATTATTGGGACAGGTATCTGGGGACGATGCAAGACTCACTGTCAGTGTAATGCAGCAGCTACACAGCTTGTGGCACTCGTTAAGAACATTGGCCCTGACTGGCATTATCGATCTGGTGACATTTCCCAAGGTAATTAAAGCAGGCAAGAAGTTTCCCTCCAGCATGCACTGTCAGAAACCCTGCTGGTGTGTTTGAAATCAGCAACCAGCTCTGATTTCTAGACGTGGTATTCAGCAAAGATTGATATGGCCATCAGCTCTTCTCACCTATGGCTTTCGTGTAGTAGTTGTACGCTTCGTTGTAATCTTTCTTGGCATAGTACGCGTTTCCTTGCTCCTTGAATGCTTCTGCTTCTCTGAAAGGAAGCAAAACACCACATTTTCAGAGGGATTGAGCACCAGATTCTGACCATGTTGACCATTTGATCCCCAAGCAACCTCAGTATAACTCTTCAGTGGTACAAACGCTCATAGGTGGTTGCTGTGAGATCTCAGCACACACTGCTCAGGGGAAAGCAGCACACCTTGCATCCTGCTGGCTCTCAGATACTCCAACCCTTTAGCCAGGTCATGGACAGGGATAACAGGGATATTTCCTGGCTAAATATTACAGGGATGCAATAGCAGCATAAAACCACCTTTGAGTCTCCTCAGAGAGTCCAGCAGAACTCCTTGGTATGGGGTTTATCCAATAGCCCCCTCCAACAGGCAGAGCACAAGAGACAGCACTGCCTCTCTCAGAAGTCCCATGTACTTACGAACAAAGGCCAAGAAGAACAGTTTCTACATTCAAAAGACAGCTAAATCAAAAAAGAAATATGGGTGCAAGCCTCCAGCAGAAGCTTGGCACTGCCTTGGTAACAGGTCCAGAAATAGTCCTCACACTCAAGAACGAGCATTTGCAGAGACAGTTTGGGACATTTAAAAACACACAACATATGGTTTAAAGCAGCTTCCCTTAAACTCCTGAAAGCAAAGCTTTCCCTGAGGGAAATGAAACCCTTCTCTCTCTTCCCCCATCTCCCTTCACCCTTCCAGACGCGCAGTCCGAGAGGGAGTGCACACCACGGTGCTGGAACTGGGAACACGAGCAATGCTCTGCAGGCCAACCAGGGAGAGAACAATGGGAATTGTGTTGGAACAAGTTCCCATGTTTTCAGTCTCGCTCAGGCTGCCATTGGCCGTTCCCACACAACCGCCTCATGCAGGGGTTGTTTTCAGGGAGCCATCGCAGATTTCCCAGCTGGCAGAACAATGGACACAGGGAAGTGTGCTCTTCACTTTCAGTTTTAACTTTTGCTCCAGGCTATACCCCGGCTGGGCCACGCCACGGCCCTGTGGGAGTCACACCCTGGGAGAGCCCAGAGCCACACGCTGTGCTCAGCTGAAATGGGATGGTAACAACTGTGGCAGAGCAAAAGGGCAGCACCCGAACCCACTGCCTGGGGCTCCCAGGGCAGCTCCTCCTGCTCCTGCTCCAGCAACAGATTAACTCACCCACGGGAGACGGGACACTGCCATCCCCCCATTGCCCCAGCCCTCCCAGCATCACACCTGAGGCAGGTGCTGCAGCCTGGCTCCTCCTCAGGAGCCAGCACCCACCACAGCCCCAGCGCAGCACAGCCCCCTCCTGGCTACACCATCTACAACAAGGATTGCCTGCGGGATGGATCCATATCACAGGCTTTGCCTGATTAAAATGCTTCCAAACACAACCACCTCCTTTGAATATTACAGGTCAAACATCCAAATACAGTGGGAAAACTATTCAGCAATTCTGCACTTCTGGAACCTGGGCAGTAAGAAGTTTCACCACTTTCTTGTTTCTGTAATGGTAAATGGAAAAGAAAATCACAGATCCTATGAAAGTTCCTTTCCTCAGAAGGTGTCTGTTACACAATTTAAAGTGTGAACAGTCTTAATGGCAGAACTCACCTGAGCCACCACTGCAGCCCAGCACAGCAGGCCCCAAGTCACAAGTCTTTTAGCAATTTTACTTGTCATGTCATGAGGAATCACTGCCTTATAGACACAGCTAAAGGCTGGGTGCCAGGGCATCCCATCTGCAACAAACTGCTGGGAAGAGCTGGGAAAATGGGAGAAAGAAAACATATCCATGCAAAACCGACTTTCACAGAGCTCTGATACTCTGAGATGCCAGAGAAACACCCCCACACAAGGATTTCTCCTCTTTTTTATTGGCCTATTTTCCTTTTAAGCATTTTAACACAGATCGATGTATCAGCAAGTCACAGTGCCTCGTGTGACACTGGCAGAAAGGAGAGCACAGCTATCTGCTGCTCACACGGCCTAAAGTTTAGTGATGAAAATTGTGAAAGAAGCAGCAAATCACCCCAAGAGCACGAAGGGAAAGGAGCTCCTGGAGCTGCCAGGCTGGGCTCGAGCTCCCAGCCCCAGGACAGAAGCAGCTCTGCCCCGTTGTGCCCCGCTGACATAGGAGCACACAGAGCACACAGCCCTTGTTTACCACGGCTCCGGCTCCAACAAGGAGAACTGCAGGCCCTGATCTCACTGGGGATTGTTTCACCCCAAACAGATGCTGCGGCCTGAATGAGCTCATTCTGCCTCCCGCGCCGCTGGGCCCTGCGCTCCCCACTTGCTACTTTTGACACTGAAGAAGAATCGTGCTTTGCTAAAAATACGCCCCCGGCTCAATGGGTGGCTTTGTGACAGGGTCGGTGTCTTCGCGGGGCCGCTCCACGCTGGACGCAGACACGGGGAAGAACTGCTCCAAGGAGCTGGGGAAGAAGCTTGTCTTTCATGGCTCACGTGCACAGGAGGGGCTCATGGGAATGACTCTCTTTTATAATAATTTCAGTTGGAAAATACGTCCAAGATCATCAAGTCCCACCTGTGACTGATCACCACCTTGTCAACTAGACCAGGGCACTGAGTGCCACCACCAGTTGGACACCTCCAGGGACAGAGACTCCCCTACGCCCAGGGCAGCCCCTTCCAATGCCTGACCATCCTTCCTGTGACAGAATTCTTCCTTGATGTCCAACCCGGATCTCCCCTGGCACAGCTTGAGACACACCAAGACAAACAGCAGCTGTGTGTGCCGACGCTCCCTCACATGCCCAGGCCCCAGGACGGAGCTCGCTGCCTGGCTGGTGGGGATGATCAAAAAAACTCTGAGGCATCAGTGATGAACCAGCACAAGGCTCCTTCTCCTCCCCATGCCCCGCTGAAAGCTCAGCCCCTGCTCCTTCCCAGCACAGCAGCGCTCAGAGAATCTGTCCTGCGCACAGTGACAGAATCCCACGCTTGCCTAACAACTCCTGCCTCCTCCTCAGAGCTTCCACACATTGCCCCCACTCGAGTGCCGATCGTGGCTTCCACCCCCCCACTCCAGCTCCCAACGAGACTCCCGCAGACCCACCTCGCAGGCACCTGATTTTCTGTCACGGGAACCTCTGGGGATGTGGAACCCCGCAGGTCTCGGTCCAGGTGTGCTGGCACAGCCCCTGGGCAGGGATGTGCCAAGGCAATACCACCACTGACAGAAATCCAGCACCTAAGCAGGTGGCAGAGTCGCTCTCTCACAGCTCTCCTGACCCTCACTCCCACTCCACCGCCCGCCTCTGTTACAAAACAGTGACAAAATCCTAAAATAGCCAGGATTTAAGGAAGGGTCCAAAATCCTGTCCTGGCCAAGCAATCTTTCCTGTGAGGCTCTGACAAAAGGAACACACCTGCCTTTTCTGAGCCATTCTTGCAGAGACTTTTTCTTTAATGGGATATGGTATGTTTATCCAGCATTTCTGGGGTGAAATCCCACCCAGATTCTCAGCTGTCAGATGTTACTCAGCTGCTGGAGTAAAATAAGTTTGGTGATCTCAATTCAGTCTACAGCAGGCAGATGTCTAGAGTTTAAAATTAGCCATCGTGTTTGCCACTGGACATCCAATACTCTCCCCTCCCTTCTTCCAGGAATTGGAAGAGAAGCCAAACACTCCGTGTGCCAGAGAGATACACAGGGTGCACTTCAGAGACCCTTCCTCGGGTGAGGTTTGACACAGAGTGAGGATTTAGAGAGATAAAAGGCTATATATTTACAACTTCCTCATGAGGGGAGCGGAGGGGCAGCACCAATCTCTTGGTGACCAGTGACAGGACCCGAGGGAACGGCTGGAGCTGCGTCAGGAGCGGGTTAGACTGGATATTAGGAAAAGGTTCTTCCCCCAGAGGGTGGTGGGGCACTGACCAGGCTCCCCAGGGCAGCGGTCACACACGCTGTGGTGTAACACACGTGATCCCCGGCCGAGGCAGAGCAGAGCCCGTTTCCTGGCACATCAGCTCCCCCAACGCGCCAGGTTGGCTCTGTGCAGCAGCACAGGCACCACTGCAGCGACTCACAGCAGCCCCGAGCCCAGGAAACTCGAGTCTGGACACGCAAGTACCTGCACAGATGGGCTGAGGAATCACCCATGGGGACATGCCCGCAAAGGTCAGAACTGAACCTGAGCCCACAAGGCGCACAAACCCTGAACATTCCCTGTACCTGAGGGCAAACTCAGAGAAGACCAAAAGAGCCACAAGAACCAAAATGCACCACAAGAAATCCAAGAACTGACCCAAACTTCCCCTGCGGCCATGAGGGAGAACAGCAGCTGAGCCCCAACTTTAATTGTGCCGTTATGTAATTCCTGGAGCTCGGAATTAACCTAATTCCCAGCAACGGCTCCATCACTCCTGGCAGGCCCACAGCATAACTTTTGTGAGATGACAACCCACGGAAAGTTCTAGAATCAGCCAGAGATTGCTTTTTTGAAGGAAGCAATTTCTTTTGAATGAAGGAAGGCAGCCAGCTGTAAGAATACCATGGGAAAACAACTGCATTTACATCATGATTCACCCTAGAAAAGCAAAGAAAAAGGCTGGAACTGTAGGTATGGATCACCTTTTCCTCATGGATAAAGTAACTGCCTAAGTCAGACATTCAAATACTCTACAGATGAACAGGGGGCCAAACAACTACAGCAGTTTCTGCTGCTCCTTGTACGATCATAAGATCATCATTCCACACGAGTAAAATGGGCTGGATTTATCACCTGGGAAACCCAAGTGCCCATTTATAGGCAGAACAGGAGTAGTGGAGCCTTCTCCAGGCTATCCCAGAATGACGTGGTGCCCCTCAGCCCACTCCCATCCCTCCTACCAGTGCTGCCCCGAGAGCTGGTGAGAAATGACGTCTGTTCCGGAGAAGCCTCACCAGGATTCACCTCACTTCATGGGAACTGCACTGGAAAAGCCTCTTGCTGCTCACCAACACCAGCTGAACTGACCAGTGACCCCCAGCCAGGCCACGCCTGGAGCCTCCAGGACTCCTTGGGGGCTGCTCCGCACTCGTCACTTCGTTGTGGG